AATTCCTTAACATTTTATAAATACAGGATTCTGTTACCCGAGATGACAAGATCTGTAATCACAGGAGACCAGGTAAGGCACGTCACTTTTGCCTGAAAAAAAAAATACTTGATATCATCATCAACTAGATTAAGGATGCATACCTAGAAGTGAAAATAATTAGCTGAATAAATAAAATAAATAAATAAAATGAATATAAATATTGACCTAAATTCACAAAGTGCTCAGAATGAGACTTGTTTGCACAACAAACACAGCTTTTACAGCATTTCCAGTTATAATTTGGTTTGTTCTGAAACTCAGGCTATGTCAGGAAAAACAAAACAGATGCGAAGGAGAGTTTAAAAATAAATTCAACTGTTATTGACAGAAGTAAATCGAGTCAACTGTACATGGATATAATATATAAATTAATTAAAATAATTTTAATTTTAGAAAATAATTTTTTTTCGAGAAAAAATGTCCTTACATCGTGGGCCTTATGCTCCATTAGTGCAAGCTTTGTCTCTACGTCCCAAATTTTTACCGATTTATCGTCCGAGCCGCTTGCAAGAAAACTCGCGTGAAGCTTGTGTTTGGAAAAACACACACTTGTCACACGCTCCACATGGCCCGCAAGTTGGCCCTCAAAAACAGGCGACACCGAGCAGACGTCCAAAAGATAGACGCAGTTTCTAGCACCGAACGCATATACATTTTTCAGACTACAGTCTGCCACAGCACTACAATACCAGTTGGGTGATGCGAGAAGAATGAACCTCGATGCATCGTCCTCCATGTTGGAAAAGAAACCGCGAAAATGTTGCAAAGAGACTGGCACTAATGGTGGTGCTACCAAAGATCCTGGGACCCTGGAACAGAGAGTTGTTTCAAGATGGCCGCCTCAAGAGGTACATGTGGTTGATATGGTATCTTTTCGAATTATGAGTTGACTTTAGCCAATTCCTAACGTGTTTTCATTTTTTCAATAGTCGAGGGGCTCCTCAGAGTTGTGCAGTTTCAGCTCAGGTGGGTGTCTTACTGGTGGCTAAAGCCCAAGAATGTCACAAAATTAAACTAAAAAAATTGTCTCTGAGTTTTTACTATCTAGTATATTGCACCTGATTGCACTCAGACTTTAAACCTCCTCATCCAGCTCTAGTTAAGTCCAAATTGTGAAAAATTAGATGGGTTAGAAAATCAAGAGCATAGGTGATGTGCTGGTGTATCACTTTGTGCATAAATATATTTATGTAGGTCTGCTTCCTTACTCTGGCCATTGTTGTTATGAAAACTTCCAACATCTAACTCATCATTTTTTCTTTGTATTTAAGGAACCTGTCTTTACGGCCACTGTTGTGCTCAAAGCTCCACACCAGTGCATTGCAACCTGCTACGTTTTCAGTTACCAGAGCAATATGGGGGAAAACACCAGCTGAAATTGAAGAAGAAAAGGGAATTCCAGAACCACCACGAGAGGTTAGACAAAAAAATTATAATTAATTGTGTAGTCCTTGAAAAATTTACAAGTGCTTATTCACACGAAATTGCACTCGAAATCATGTTGTTACTTGTCAATAATTTGCATGAAAAAAGGTCACAGAAATTTAAGACACCAAATTTTGACAGGGCTTGTGCACTTTTTGTGATTTGCTATTGTGTTAGAACTTTGCACTTGTGTTACAACTTTGCACTCGTCTTATATGAAAAATGCACTTGTTTTCTGTTAATCAGATGCACATAATAATTGTATATTATTAGTATACTTATAGATAGTGGAGCATGATTTAGGGAACTTAGTTTTGCAATATTTAATTACTCATATGCTATGTTGAAATACCTGTAATAAATTCATTATCAGTGTCCAGTGTTTGCAGGTGATTTGAACAGCCATTAGAATACCTTTGTGTGTAGGTAGTTACTGTTATCTTTACTTTTCTTGGAGTGCCGATGACAAGAAGGAATTGTGTAACAGTCAAGAACTTCTTTAATTGGTCATCATTTCTTTTATTCTCATGACCTTATTGTGTTACTCTGGGGTGATAGTGTAAGGAAGAATGAGATGTTAGTCATTCCTAAGGGTCAAGGGTTCATTGCTCTCTCTACATGGACTCTGGTATTAGGCGTGAAAAAAATCAAAATTATGTGGGATTTTTAGGGAAGATTATGCATGAAATTATGCGCAATGACATCATCGCTTAAAACCTAAAATATAACTAATTTAACTTAGAAAACTCAGTTATTGTTTCTTTTATAAAAAAATGGAATATTACGCATTATTGATAAATGACTCCTTCCAATAAAAGCAATAATATGGCCAAAACAGAAAGCAATTCTTGCAAACGTCCACCATCTTGGAAACTGCCAAACACTGGAACCTGGGCCAAGCTTCATATCAGTTCCAGGCCCTCATCCGACATTTTTATTAACGCCTTGTTGTTTTTGTAAAAACAAAATGGCTTCGTATCCATGTGGTTGTTTTGTTAAATTAAAACGATACTTTGGTATTTTGTATGACTGTATAAAAAGGATAAATACAATACTCAAGACAGACACTAAGATAGATAACATATATATTCAATGATTTATTTGACAAATTATGCGGATAATGGCCAATTATGCAGGACCGCACCAGCGCATAATGCCAGAACCCTTGTCTCTATATCAAACTATAAAAGGCTTTTACATCAAAGTCTTTCAATTTAAAATCAGTGTTATTTTTCTTCATAGACCATTTACCATGTCAGGAGAGAGATCAAGGGAAGCCCAACAAAGTTTAATGCAGTAGCAAAACAGGTGATTAGTATTCTTTCAATTTGATGTAATAAAAGAAGAAAACTAAAAGAACATTTGAAAGGCTTGCTGAATGCATATCAATTTATGCCCTGTACCTATTTTGCTATAATTATAAAGTTACAAGTGACACTGTTGTTGACCTTTATTTACATTAGTCAATATCCTACCAGTAAGGTGATTCCTTAGAAAAAAAAGTTATTGAAGAATTCTTTTAAAACTTTCCTTAAATGTTCCTTACCAACATCTTTTTTGCAAAATAGAATAAAAAAAGATAGGTCACTGTGCTTGTTGAAGGGATATGATGAGCCAAGGTTACACTGTTATTCCTAACACTGGCACTAATCATGCACGTCACTTAATCTGTTCACAATACATTCTGCGGAAGCTGGAAGCAGTACAGGATGTACTGGATTGCCTTCTTGTACTACATCAGTACAGGATGGCAATACTGAGGAATCACCTTAACTTTATTAATGCAAGTAGCATGCAATTCATGGAATTTCTCCAATTTTTACCCCTGCAACCCACATAGCTATGAAAGTACAGCCTAAGGGGTGAGCTTTTTTCACTAGTTTGTTGTCAAGAGAGTTTGCATGCAGGCTAGTAAAATTAATACTGAAAAACCAAGGGTTTGAGCTTGACTCTCAATGGATGTCCAAGTCACATCCACAGTCAACAATCAAGGCGGGGGTTTGTTTTGTAAGCATCTTTTGATTGGCTGAATTTGAATATGTTGAAATTTATGGTTTCTGTTCTGCTCTCTCACTGGCTTTCATTTTACAAATGACACCAGTTTTACTAAATGTGTATGTCTTGTAAAAATGATGTTTTATCTTTTCTTTTTCACAGATTAGAGGACTGCAGATTGAAGAAGCTATTAAACAGATGACATTTTCACCCAAAAGACCAGCAGAAATTATTAAACAAGTAGGTATTAGGAAGATAATAGCAAGGATTTGTATTGACTGAACAGATTACTATATCTTCAATTTAGGATGTTTTCTTGGTTTATCGTTCAGTTGGTGATTTAAATAGCAGCTAGTCGTCAGTCCACTCTCTAAGATACATGTCTAAATCAAAACAAATTCTTTTATTCCTAGCAGAACTTTATGGTAAAAATTGCCACCTCACAGAATACTTTTTTCTCTAGGTAATCCTAGAAGCACAAGACAAAGCCCAAAAGGAGCATGATATAGAGGACAAGATGCACCTGTGGGTTGGTAAGTAATTTTACCAGACAAGTGTAGAATTACAGTGGGCAACAATGTTTCAAGTTATGATGCCCTTACAGAAAAGATCCTAAAGCTCCACCAGCTACAACTGAAGTAATCAATAGTCTGTGGCTGAACTTATCAAGAAGATTTGGGAAGAAAATTTTCAGTGGCTGGAGATTTAAGGGTTGCAATATAGAATTGTAGGTATTTTGACCACAGAACCAAAATTAAAGTTTAATACTGGCACAAGTGTTCTGTGACATCTTCATGCACAAAACTGAGTGAGCTTAGCAACAACAAGTGTTAGAGGTTATGGTTCTTAATAACAGCCCTGGTGACTAATGGTGTTCAGTATTGGCTTTCAGTGTGTTGAAAGATGGTGGCAAAGTAATAATAATAATAATAATAATAATAATAATAATAATAAATATTGAAGGCATTTATCTAAACACAATAAAATTACAGCATAGCTGAGGTGGTCAAGTCTAAGAAGTAAAAGGTAAATGGAAATTACACTCATAATTAAAACTACAAATACATGATCAAAACAAGAAATTGAAGAATAATACCTAAATTAAGTACTAATAGATTAAAAAGTGTGAAATCAGAGGGAAATTTCTTAATTAAACTTTTAAAATCGTTCAATGAGCTGCTCATTCTCTCTTCATTGGCAAGCCTGTTCCAGGGCACAGTACTTATATATTGGATAGATTTCTTGACATTGTCTTAGGTTTTGAAATTTCTAAACACAATTGTTTTATTAACAGTACCTAGTCTCCCATTTTACCAATAACCCTTTAAGAGGGCCAGGCAAGTGGCCACATATCCTTTGGAGTGGGTTCTTCTTGAGAGTTTCATGTTGCTGCACTTTTTCTTGCTCTCAGTCCTCTCATCTACTTTGTCTTCTCTTGCAGCCCAGTCTTATGCTAGCAAAGGACCTTACATCAAGAGAATGCGCTATCATGCAAGGGGTCGCTATGGCGTCATGCATATAAAATACTGTCACTATTTTGTTGTCCTGAAAGAAGGAATAGCTAGGCCAAGAAACAAGAAAAGAAGGAGGAGACACATGAGTGAGTTAGAGCTAGTGCAAAGGCACCCACGACACATTCGCAACTCTCTATCATGGTGGTGATTGAAAGGCTTGGTTCCGATCATAATTCTGGTGGAAAATGTAATTTATCTTCAAAACTATGACACACTGCTTACTTGGTAATTAATCTTGATAAAATGTGTACCAAACATGGTAAATAAAACCCTTTCTGGCATTCTCTGAACATACCATGCCAACGATGGTAGCCCCTGTTGATTGAGTGATCTATATGTTTGTATTTATTGGTATATAAATGGATAATCAAAAGATAGTTAACTGATAATCAACAGTTGGTCAATGTTAAATCCACAGTTAGCTGATGTATTGTAAATGGCTGACTGACCAATAGATAGTTGGTCCAGGTCTCAACGCTGCAGTAATGCATTATCCAGCTAACATCTTGACTGAAACAATAGCCAAATTTCGGTCATTACCAAACAACAGACTCTCAGCTAAGTTAACCGTAGATTGACTATCAGTAGATTTATTGACTAAGGTACAAAGGATGAAAAATCAGTGAGGACAAATAGCAGTGTTCATCTTGGAATTGAACCAAGTGTTTATCATACTATGACATCAAACTTGCCTCTGAACTAGTTTACAAGGAAATACAATGCAAATTGAAGGGGAAATTTACTCGTAAGATCTTAAGGTTCAACAGTTTTTCTCCTTCTTTCCATCTTTGTCACCGACGACACTGAATTGATGGCATTTATTATGTTATGAACAATCAGTATATCTGTAGTGTTTGTTGAATTTTTATACAATTTTATCAAATGCTGTCCCTTTAATATTCTATAATATGCAATTTGAGTAACTTCCGTCCTGTTTAATTGTTTCTTATAAGGACGGAGCAACGTGAAAATTACAAAACAAACACAAACGAACTGACCAGGACAAAGAGCGTAGCAAGAGCTAACGCAAAGGCTGATGACGAAATAAACAAGATTGATTATCTCTCCATTTTATTACAAAGAGTACATATAAAATAATATGCAATTTTATTTACATTCCAACTGTATTACTTTAAACTTTTGATATTTTTTATAGGCAGTCCACAACGCCCTTCAATAACAACCTAAACAGCATATTTTCTCAAAATGGCACAATTCTCAAATCTTGTCTACTTCAGTAGTGCTACACCAAGAATTGCTAACAAGGACACTTCTAGAAAAGCGTTTCAAATTTGTGCGTACTACAAAAGACGACAAGCATGCATGATATAATACCAACTTTAAGTCGCCCGATCATATTGTATCCAGGTAAGTCTCTAACTAAACAACTTTGAAAAATAACCTCCCCATAGGCTCGGATTTCCCCAGTATACTGACGTTCGGGATCTGCTAGAGGCACTTGTGGAGACCACAACTGCCTTCTGTATGAACGGACGAGAGGAACATGAGTTGCCGCGAGTTCGGGCAGTGAGGAAATTAAAATTCTTGGGTTTTTTTTCTTCCTTTCAATTAAAAAAAAAAAAAATTGAGAAAATGTCCCTTTCTGAATGAGTAAACGCTACCTCTGTGTTAATTCAACATTGTACTTCGCGAAACATTTCAACATGGACCAGGTGGTAAGTTCAGATTAAATCAGATTGGTGAGACAAAGGCCTGATGAATGGGCGGCTGAAAGCAGCGGACATGTTCAACTGGACCGTCTGAAGACTTGAGGTGCTTGTTGAGCACGGCGAATATCTGATCGTTTAGTGCTTTGAAGTGACGCGCTCGGCTAACGAGCCGCTTGAGATCCTGAAAACAAATGCATGGTAATATTCTAATTAGCCACGTCTTTAAGAACAAGCACCCAAACACGAAAACAAAAACACGACAAAACTGTAAGGTGTTGATGACGGCCATCGTTAATCCTCCTACCCTGCCCAGGTTTGTTAGGGTTTCAAGACAACATAGAACTGAAGCAGACACGCTCCTGATACTCGGATATCAACAGTAAGAAGAATGGAACTCATTCTGGCGCGCATTGACGCCAACGGATCGACTGGACGGACATTTAACATTTTTAACCAAACTGTGCTTCCATCCGCGTCTCAAAAACGTTTACGCTTCAGTTCTATTGAAAAGTGACCAGTCTTGGAAGGGGAAAGAAAAAACACATTGAATCCGAAAGGAGATCGAATTCGTCCCTTGAACCCTCTTTGAAGTATTTCCCTCCCGACCACATCCTTTAAAAAGGAACGGAAGCAATCTCGCACCCAATGAATCTATGCAGAGAGAGGAATGGGGGGGAGGGGAAGTGGGTACATGTGTACATACCACGCCACCGATCACTTCGTCCCGCGAATCCACCTCGTAGACTTTGACGATATGATAACAGAAATCCAACGCTTCAAAACGATTCTCTTGTCCTAACAGAGCAATAAGGGTACATCCCGCCCAGTTGAGTCCTTCGCCAAAGCACTGCCTGCAGTTCAGCGAAAAGGGCAACATGAATTAAGCCTTGCACGACAGGTTATTTCATATCAAAGTGTCGTACGAGTGGTAATATGACCTTACGAACAGATGGACTGATCTTATCAGCAACTTTAAATTACTGGTAGAGTTTGATTAAATTGTCATGGTTTGTCAGTGGCGCTGAGATTTATCAAAAGTCAAAGTCGAGCTTTAGAAGAAAGCAAGTAACCAACTCGAGACTGGGTCCAGCTTCGCATTTCACTGATTGAGACAATCAAAAATTTGACTTAAAGTAAAACCAAAGAAATACCAGACTTGACCTGATAAGCTGAATTAAACAAGCATTTTGATTGGTTACTGCTTATGATTTATTGGAGAACAGATGCATAATGAAGTCACCATTAGCAGCATATTGCTTTTTTTTTTTTCATGTAAAATAAATAGACTCCACGTTGAACGTGCGTCTGTTCCGTAATAATAGAGAGATTTAACACCGCGTTTACGTGAAACGTGAACGACACGAGTGACCATGTGACCTTGTTTTTTCTGCCATTTTTTTTCACGTTTGCCGGCTGCGCTTTGCCGTTTCTGCGGGAAAGTCACCTGTTTCGCGTTTGCCGTGTACGTAAGATTCTCTCACTTTTTTCTCTTACAGTGTAGAAGTTAATTCGCGGAAAAAGGGCACAAAACAATTCTTTGTAATTCATACAAGTGTACATTCAAATCCACCATGAAGTGAGCTCACGCGAAGCGTAAGCAGCAAGGTTCGCGCTATTTTACGTGAAACGTGAAACGGCAAGCTGACGTTTGCTGTTTCACCTAAACGCGGTTCTTAATCTCTCAAATAGATCACAAGATTTTTTTATACCCTGCACATTTTGAAATCATCTGTAAAAAATAGACTCGATTGACCCATGAAGTAAGAGACCCAACGGACTTATGGGCATGTAAGCACAGTAACACAATCATGCTTCACTTTTTCATTATTCATGAAATCCCTTGTTTATGATAATTCTTTTCTTTCTACCCGAGAAAGCATGGATGGCTCATTTACCACGTGCAACTATTGTGGTAATCGTGTACGCGTATACCCATAAAGCAGTTGAGTCCCATTGTTCATTGCTTACGCTTGTTTGGGGTCAACGTTTTAGCAATGTAGTGTATACCCCTCGCTGTTAAACAAACGCAAGGCATCAAGGAATTTATTTGCTATCCTTTCGACAGTCAAATGAAAAGTTTCCTAAATATAAAGCAACACTTACTCTACAGTGAGTTCATTTTGCCGCAGTGGCTGGCAGTAGTTGAACTGAATGGCGCTCCACAGACGGTGAAACTCTCTGCACTCGTCAATGTTCATCACTCCATTGGAAGGCGGCATCTCTTGCCATATTTCGTGAACCAGGAACTTTTTGATCTTTTTCAATACCACCTCAAATATGGACAGTCCGCAGCAAAGTCTTTCTTTCGTCAACACGTCGCCTTCTTTAGCGTTGGCTATTTGCTGCAAAGAAAAAGTCATTCCTTATCGACGTCGCAAATATGAAGGAACAGTTCGTGACAAGTCGCAAAATGATGCAAAAGCGTTGCGTGATGAGCTTGGTCACAACCTTGGTCACGACCTTAGACACTAGACCTGGAAAATCGAGGGGAAAATAACATTTTTTTTTTTTGTAAATCTCAATACCTCTTTGGTTCCAAGCTTGGTAATGGTTGACAAAATTTGCAACGAGTTGTACTGTTTCTCGAGCTTTTCCATTTTGGCCTGGAGTTTTTCACCATCTGTCATGGACATGAAGAAAAGGAAAAAAATGTCAGACATTGAAAACAGCTTACATTTAGTGATGCTGTACTGCTTAAAAGTTTCTCTTTTTTTGTCCTTAAATTCGTACCATCCCGTTATCGTGAAATATTTGGCAAAAGAAAGATAAAAAATAAGCCACTACAATACTTCTCTGGGCACGAAAAAGGCTAAAAGCCCCAGGCACACGAGAGAGGAAAACGATGAGTACCCAAGTTCATTCTCTCCTCTTCTTCCTACACCTTTCCTTGTGCAATAGTTACGAGAATTTAGTGTTACATCAAGATAACAACCTCTACTTGGTAGGTTTGAGTAATCTCACTACCTGTTTGCTGAATAATGTATGGATATTACAGGGAGAAATTACACGTTAATCACTTCTGCGTGTTAAAGGGGGAATCATTGCGAGTTTGTATAAAGGGGAGAGGGCGAGGCGTGCGAAGACTGGATTTAAAACAGGTGCTTTGTTGAAAGACTTTATTCTCAGCCAGAGAGTTGGACCGAAAACAAAAACAACAACAACAAAAAAAACAACAACAAAAAAACACAGCTTCCGGAGAGTGATAAGAGAACTGACTTGAATACAAGTCCGCCTCAGTGCCCTAACCACTCAGCTCGGTCTGCCTGGCTTCACAAGAAGCTTAAATAATTATTCTAGTTACTAATCAAGTTACCTTTCAAATAAGGCCTGGGGATAATTCCTTGGAATGGAGCTGCATGCAACAGATCAATAATCTCTTCTTGAGACTGAAAAAGAAAAAAAGCATTTAATCACTAAGGAACAATTGCAGCAGTTTCCCCAAATTGTGGGCAGTTATGATCGTAAGAGATAGCGAAGCATTTGCGAGTAAACAACAACATTAGCTATTTACACATGAATATCCAAAGCTGAACCGAAGGTTTTACCAGCGACAAAGATGGAACTCGTAACGAGTTCACCAACTGGTACAGGTATGGCATAAGAAATTCAAGCAGTGTCATTCTTGGAAATGAAAAAAAAACCTTCCTCCATCCCACCCCCCTGAAAAAAATCTTGATTTGTCTCCTTACTCGTCCACACAAATGATTACCCCGAAACCCGAGGGGAGTCAGGGGGAAGAGTAGGGGGAAAGAGTAGCGGGGGAAAAAGTAGGGGGAAGAGAAGGGGGAAGAGCAGGGGGGAAGAGTAGGGAGATAATTCGAGGGGAGGCAATAATTTCAAATTTTGAGCAATAGGCAAGGTACTCATTTGCTTATTAGAGGGGAGGCACTCACTCGCAGATTTAAGGTGTATCACATAATACAATTCCATACGTCTTTTCTTAAAAGATCTCACTCCTTGACGGCCAAAAACGCAATAGCTCGCCATCAACCCACTAGGGCCGCAACGGTTATTTAGAAACTAAAGTAAGCTTTACTTACAAGGAAGCCCTCTAGTTGTAAACAGAACAGGATGGCATTGCCGATCTCTCTGAATCCGTGGAACACATCTGTCCTCAAGTACGGGTACTGCATGATCGGTTCAAGGCTAGCATGATAGTATTCCAGGACGCCTGTTGGATGAAAAAGAAAGGCAAAATCAAATCACACAATAAACAGCAAAAAGTTGTACAAAACGTAATGCTTTTTACTTTACGTTAAGCTGCCGTGAAAACGGCTACTACGCTACTGATGGCACATCTCAAAACTACCACGCTGCTCTTTTTAAATCACATGCCGTAGTTTGTAATATAGGTATTTTAGATCGGTGTCTTAACCACAAAACCAAAGTATCAAAACGACAGATCAGAAGATCGGAACAAAGGGAAACATCGCTTGCAGTAAATGTCGACTCATGGTTAATTGATATAACTGGCCTCCTGCGCATGAAAGACGCAAGCGATAGACAAGCTTATACCAGAGCAAACTTAAGTCAAATAAATGAAATTCCACATTACTTTCGTGAAGTAAATTTGGCAGAAAAAACTTTCATTACAACTTAACACCAAGGGTTAAGTCCTGCATGCGCGCATTATAAATAACGCAAGACTGTTGCAAGATTCCCCTCCGTCCTTGTGAGCAAGCTTATTACCTGTTGATCCGTACTCAAAGCGAGGAAGACCACATTTCTTTGGCATGCCTTCGATGAGCTGTGCTATGTACAGCTGAAGCTGACCTTGGAGCTACAGATCAAAAAAAGAAATATTACGGGACTATCGTGTTGTGTAACGTATAAAGCCCCGGGTTCAATCCATGTCAATGAATTGCGTTCTTGGGCCATGACACTCGGTATCGACAGAGGCTTCGCGTAAAGGCCCATGGGGGGGAAGGGTGGGAGAAACTTTGAATTGAAAGCATACCAGGAAGAGGGGAAATATTCGCAGTCGCTTTACATGACAGAAATCGTGTCCAGGCTCTGGCAGCAATGCGAGTCAATGTTGTATGCCGATTTTTCATTTTTAGCCACCAGGAGGAACATGTAACAGAAGGTAAGGGGCGGGGATCGAGTTAAAGGCGACGGAAACAGACCTCGTCGGCAGAAGAAGCATGATATTACTAGATCTAAAAGGATAAAGTTACCATATCTATCAATCTATCAAAATCAGGTTAATCGAGTCTGTTCCAAAACTTTTGACGCTCATTTTCCATGAAATGTATTTAAGATAGCATTTAAATAGCTTACCACACTCTTGATAATCTTAAGAAGTTCTTCGATCACTACAGCAATCCCTTGATAACCAAGCAAGCGTGACATGCAAGCGAAATGAATGTCTCCGACAAAGTTGCTGTACAGCGACCCAATGGCATTGAACACTGAGTTTTGAAGCTGCAAGGAACACGATAAATAAACAAATACAGAAACACAAATTGAAATTAATGTCGAGCAGTACTGACAATTCAGTCATGACGGGATAAGTAACTCTGTCACTCCCGAGATCTCTTTAGTAATTCTCCTCAGTAACTGCTATTCGTGACCATTCGTGACCACTGACCATTCATGACTGAATGGTCAGTGGTTCGAATCACGTACAGGCCTGAATTTTTTCAGGTCTGATTTTCACTATTGCTTAACTAGTGCTTTACTGCGAGGATCGTGCACATATACGTTTCTATAACCGCAATTCAGATATATGGGTTTCATATAATCGTTGTGTTTGATTTATCATCTTATGGGTTTATGTCGAATTAATTTGATGGCCTGCTCCCAGTTGGCTTGTTAGCTCAATTGGTGGAGCGCTGCACTAGTGTCACATAGGTCAGTGGTTCGAATTCCGTAAAGGCCTGAATTTTTTCAGGTCTGGTTTTCAGTATTGCTTAAATAGTGCTCTTTACTGCGAGGATCGTGTACATATAAATCTCCTAATTAATATTTTTCTTGATATTGTATTGGTACCCGGAAGGAGATATTCTGTCTGGTCATTCATAGGAGTTAAAGGGTTAATAATGAAGATGAACCCCCCAATGAATGCTACGGAGTAGCACTTCCCAGCCGTATAATCTCATTTTGTTTATGAAGACAGTTCTGAAATTACCTTTGTGCCAAAGAAGTAATGATGTGCCTGTTTTGGAGCTTGTTCTCTGGAAACCTTTTCCACTAAGGAAAGCGAAGTCGGAACAAATCTGTAAACAAAATTAAGGATGGCGATTAATTCAAGAAACTCTCGGCGACTTCTGAAGAAATAGAATAGAACATTTATAAAACCTGTTCCTTGAGAAACTTTCGATTAAGCGTCGTAAGACCAAAACTATAAAGTAATCACAACGGCCAATCACAACAAAGGAAAATAACCGGAAAAAGCAGAACAAGCGAAAGCGCGGGAAAACGCGGCCGACCAGTGCAAGTCGTGATTGGTGATAGTTTTACATCTGATTGGTTGATAGTGTAGCGCGCGTTTTCTGAACCAATCATAGAGCGAAGTAAAGAAAAACCAATGCTATTCCGAGTCACTTTCGACACTCACTCGAAAATTGCTCTAACAAACAATCAATACTATAAATGAATAGCTTGAAAGGCTGAAAGAGGAGGGCGTTTATAACAGTGCAAGGTTTTCTTTTTTATTAGAGCGCTCACAATAGCTTTCCTCACCTGTTCGTGGACGAGTTATAGCAGTAGTTTGGAAGAAAATCGAAGTTGAGTTCCCAGAACACATGAAGGGTGATCCTTCCATATGGCGCAGACACCGAATGGTTGGCTTCACCCAACATGTTCTTAAACGGAATCAGCTTCACGCACTTGGACAACAACTGATGTGCCATTCGGTTCACTTCAATAAGGTTCTCCAAGTCCTAGAAAACACGAGTCGTTATTTGTACGTCAAAAAAAAAGAGTTGACCTTTCATTAACTACAGACGTCAATGTAATCAATATCAAGAAAAGAAAGAGGGCTAAAAAACATACCACAACACCACAGATATCTCCACTCTCGAACCGCGCTATCGCACAATCCAAGGACTTAATCATGGCGTTGTTAAGACGCTGCGTTATGAGCTTGTTCAAGTCGATTGACCGACCTAGAAGCTGAGAAAAAAACGAGGCTGTCACATGAAATGGCCAACAATATCGCCTTCACCGTCGCCTTCACATTCAACCCCTCCGCTTCCCCCAGCCTTCCAAAAATAAAAAAAAAGGAGTGAACAGCACCAGGAAAGTGACAGCACATTAATGGCCCTAATCGTGGAGGAGGAAGAGGTTAATATTATCCCATAATAAGACAGGGCTTGCCCCCCTTCCCACCCTACCCTCATGATAAGTTGTAGAGAGGATCTAAGTAAGCCTGATATTTTTAGCCGCGTATCAATAAAGGTATCACATCATAAAAATTTCAATTTCCTTGATTGTGATTGATTTCAACTCTACCAATTGAGCTAACCTCCCGGTTAGCTCAATTGGTAGAGCGCCGGACTGTTGTGCGGGAGGTCGTGAGTTCAAATCCGGCCGGACCAACACTTAGGGTCTTTAATTAACTGAGAAGAAAGTGCTGCCTTTGTANGACAGTTCCATAAGCCAATCACATTCAAAGTTGTAGTTTAAATCAACCAATCACAATCCTTTGTCAGTCTTGTAATGCAAATTTTCCCTTTCCTTCATAACTTGGCTATTAGTCTTTTCTCGTTCGAGTCATCATCACTCGTATGACAACAGACCGAATCGGACTCCACTCGGTCGTACTACCATTACTTAGCTTCACTTAGCGCCATTATTTTCCCGTACTGTTAGAGTTTTTTCCCATGCAAGGAAACGCCATAATTACCTGCACATGCCTCTGTCTAAGAAGAGTCTCGTATCGGTTGGATCGTGTTCCGAGTTTCGCTGCAGCCTCGGCATTCAAACGGACAAGCTCCGATTTGAACTTCTTGTCCAGTAACATACTAAAGAAAAGCCAACAGACCAAGAATTAACCCTTTACACCCTAATGTCAGTACACATGTTCGATTTCTCTAAAACGTTCTCTGCACATCCCCTAAGGTGCTGACAAGAAAAATTTTTTTAACATTTTTTACATTACCAGTTCTTCGTGTTAAGCATTTATTTTTTGTAAATTTATCACGAGTAATAAAAATTTACTAGTTACTAGAAACCATGTTACCACATTATGTATTCTTTTTTAAGGATGTTATATTGAGTAATTTATATTCTCGTTATATTTATATACAGTATCTGTATACTTTTACTTAACTGGAGACGTAGAATTTTAGATATTCGAACGTATTTAGTATGAGTCGCCAGCTAATTGTACATCTCGAATTGAAATAAATCAATTGATCAATCAATCAATAAATACTCAATCAATCAATCAATAAATAAATACTCAATCAATCAATCAATCAATCAATCCATCTATCTATCCATCTAGCAATCAAGAGCTTCTTAAGTTGGTAATCATTTCCTTCATTCTCGTGATCAAAAAATTTGATTCAGGGGTGATGCGGTAAGGAAAAATAGGATGCTAGTCACTCTGTATGCCTTGTTAACCAAGGGTGAGGTCAAGATGGCTGGATATTGGCCGAGTTCTTTTTTTGCATTTTTATGGACCGAGACGAAGTCGAGGTCCATAAAAATGCGAAAAAAGGACGAGGCTAATATCCAGTCATCTTGACCAAACAAACTTGGTTAATAAAGGATTTGTTAAATTGCAGAAAAGATTTCGCTTTATTAAGAATGGCTTGTTTACATTTTTCGAAAGCCGGGAAAGAAAGCCAACTGTGTTTATAGCACAAAAAAACTCACGAGGGTCGTTTCTGTTTTCTTTGTTTTGACCATCTTCTACCGCTTTTTGCGTTTCCATCGCCGAAATTGTCTTAGAATTACCGACTTAGTTCCACTTCCATTTTTTTCATGTGGGATCAATGCGGGCAATCCCGAGCGAGCAAGATCGGCCCATCTTGCCCGCTTGGGTAGCCAATCAGAACATAAGATTCGCTTCATCTTGCCCACGGGCGCTGCGAGCGATGTAATAATAAGGGTAAATAACACACAAAAATAAAAACAAACAAGCCAATGCTATGATTAGTATAAAGGAATTAATGAAGTTCAGTAATAAGGATTAAGTATGTGTAATTTGGGGTTTATATGTTACCCACGTAACAAACACCTGCTTGGAAGGGGGGGGGGGAATGGAAGAGAAAGAAAATACTTCAAACTTGTTCTCACGTCTCCTTTCCTCCGTCCCCCGTCCCCATCCCCAAAGAAAAAATCGTGTCACGCGGGAGTTTAATCTTATCGTTCAGGATCTATCCCCGAATGAAAAATATCCTTTTTTGTCTGCTTGACAGTGCATAGACGGTGGGTACGATTTGTATCCTGAAAAGAGTTACCTGCACGCCTGCGCCTTGTAGTAGGAAAATATCTGATCACTAAGCTTGTACACAAACTGGTCAAAACACAGGTTCACCTGTCAGAAGAGGAAGAATTTAAAACAAATGCGATAAAAAAACCTCCTTGCTAAAACGAAAACACAAAAATCATTCGACTCTAAGGATCATATTAAATCACATTACGACGCTCACCTCTGCCTCAATTTCATCATACAGATACTGTTTCTTGAAGACAGTCATGGCGTAATGAGCACTGTCGTTATAAAGGTCCAGCGGGTACAACACATACCTACACGGAACAGCAAATAGATCAGTTTCTAACACCCTCCTTTCGGTTAATTTTACAAATCCTTCGAGTCCTTATTAGCCAGTTCCTAAAAACTGCTTCCACATTTTGACATGCTCTGACAACGGATTATACTGACATTTAAGGAAGTTTCGGTGAAATTTAGGTTAAATTCAATTGTTTTACAAAGTGAGCGGTAAAAACGTCCCTACCCAATTTCCCCTTTTCCTCTGGAAGTTGATTTTGTTTTGTTAGATTGCCGAGTTGTTTTTCAGGTTTCCCAAGGATTTTAAAGCGCACAAGTGGTTATCCTTTAAAATATTCTTAACCATTTTGTTTCTGCATTCTTAGTCAAAAAAGACAAACATGTGGAATCTGGTGACTAGTAGTCTAGACCGCAATGTTATTAACCTGCGGTGTGCGTTCCGTTAAGATGTCAATCAAGAAAGTTCTTCGTCGCGCGCTCATTAGTCTACCCGAGTTACAAACACTCATCAAAGAGGTTCAAGCAGTCGTGAATGATCGCCCAATTACATTCGTCTACCATGATGCGAATGATCCAGAACCTTTGACACCGTCAAAGTTGCTGTATGGTTTCGATGTTACAGCTTTGCCACACCTTGTTACTGATCCTGACGAGTTGGAGGATGAAAACTTCAATGAACATGATCAACTCAAGAAGGCATTCAGACGACGCTCATTGCTGTTTCAGCACTTTCTCCAACGGTTCAAGAATGAGTACCTTGCTTCGCTGCGGGAGCGTCATGTGTATCAGTCTAATAAGCGAGGATCGCAGGAGGAGATCATTAAAGTTTGGGATGTTATACTTATACACGCTGAAAATGTTCCTCGTAATTCCTGAAAGTTAGCCATTGTAGAGAAAATTCTCCATGGCAGTGATGGCCTAGTTAGAGCTGCAGAGATCAAAACAAACTCCGGAGTTACCAACCGTTCAATACATCTCTTGTACCCCTTGGAAGTCACACTGACGGATCCTAAGGAACACTTTACAGGAACTGAACTGCAGATTCCACAGGTCGAAACACTCAGAAGAAGCAAACGAATTGCTTCACGCCCTCGCCCCCAGTATGTGGAATCTGGTGACTAGTAGTCTAGACCGAAATGTTATTAACCTGCGGTGTGCGTTCGGCACATGCGCAGAGACAGTTAAAAAGCATGTGCTTGAGTGCATGAGAGAACCGCCATGTCGGAACTTGTACTCGCTATGTACTCGTTGTGTTGTTTTACTAAGCGTGGCCGCCCCGTTTTATTCTGTCACTGTTAGAAGTTTCTGATGAAGTATTCATTGATTGAGGTCGATTAATTCAGTCTTGTGGTTTACACAAAACACAAAAGCTAGCCATCTGGTGGAACAAAACTGCAACAATGACACGCTGGTATTAACAAAAAACACCTGCTATACTGCTTGACATAAATACTTACTCCATCATACTGGGATTTTTGCTTTCCAAAATGTGATTCGTCAAGATCCATGGCATCGACATCTCAATGGGAAACTACGAACAAGAGAGTACAAATCAGGTCACAAAATCACAACAACAACTGAAAGATATAAAACAAGAGAAAAAAGTAAAAGGACAAGGAACGCTCAGAAATGTTCTTAGTTCCATGCTCATGAAGAATATTTGACATCTTTCCCTGTTCATCTTTATTTTAAGGAGAAAAGGTAACCGTGGAAAAAGATGTTGAAGATAAATGCGCTCTTTGGGAGATACTCAGATCCCCCTGGATAGAGCGCTGGACTGTTGAGTGGGAGGTCGAGGGTTCAAGCCCCGGCCGGACCAACGCTGAAGGTCTTAAAATAATTGAGAAGAAGCTACCTTTCTATAACATCAAGAAATGGTTAGATATTCTAGTCTTTTCGGATGGGGACGAACCAATGGAGGCCCCGTCTCCTACAGGGTTAGGGGTAGGAGACGTTAATTTCCCACGCACGAGATTACTGTGTGATGGATGTC